TCTAACTTTATTTGCTTATAACTTTGTAATAAAGCGTTTCTGAGAAAAATTCAAATAATATTTTATCCTTATTTTTGTATGTAGGATATGCTCCCCAAGTTTGTCCATTAAAACCCGGGACACCCTGTATACAGAGTGTCTTAGCTACAGGACATCGACTAGCCGTCGCAGCTATTCTGTCTGTTTTTTATGTTATAAAAGACGATATCACAAAGGTAACGTTGAAAACAAGAAACTTCAAAGACCAAAAACTGTTGTACATGAGACTGTTACATTTGTGTACATCTGAATGTATTCTTGTATTCGCTACATGATATAACAAAAGAAGTACACATGTTTTACATAAAAAATGTGGCTGATCTCTAAAACTCGAAAGAAATGAGCCCACAGAAAAATTTCTGTTACTGGATATATCTTCTTCGAAACCATTTAAATCTTGCTATCAAACTTCTTCATAACATAAATAAAAGAGATATTTAGGTGACCACCTTGATCTAAGACATCTTGTATATCCATATTGATCAGCTGGATTACTATCAAACTTCAACAAAATTGTTATTGTTGACTCTAACGAAAAAGTGAAAAATTTTGTCCTTCAATTTTTCTTGAGACTTCGACGAATAGCAAGTTTCATAAATTTTTTGTTTAACAATCTAAGCCTTCTAACATCTCACAGAAAATTAAGTTATTTGGTGCAATATTAAAAACGTTATTCCGTTTTGAAACGTGACTGCATATTAATAGAAGTAAATAGCGAGCGCCTTTCACTGTTGACCTGTCTAGGAAGCATTGAAATACCAGCTTTGTCGTACAGCATACATATACCTATCCTTGATCATACAAATAACTGTTGTACGATTCACCGTTAAACAAATGAAAATGATCAACCGGAAGAATTCCTTTTAATTCGTTTCAGCGATATGCATGGCAATCGGAGTTTGTATCTACCCCTTAGGGTGGGATTCGCCGTTGATCCGTGCTGTCTGCGGCGCAGCCACGTCCAGGTACCTAATTATTTTTCCTTCGAACCCGGCAATCGTAAAGAGAACATATATTTTCGATTGACAGATACAATCCAGGAGCTTGCGCTGTTAGGTGGGCGATACCGTTAGCAGCGATCGCCGCTTTGGACGCCGCTACTTTAGCCGCGCTGGCCTTTATTTTAGCGTCCAGGCACGTAAGACTTCAACCGGAGCCTTTCAACAACGGTTCCTTGTACAAAGGTACACGTCTCTTTTTTAATTTCCAAAGAACAGTTAGACTATTAAGAAGCTTTTCTAACTTGAAGAATTCTGTTTGGTTTAAGGCGAAGTGAATCCGGGATATGTGAACGAGGCGCAGAGCGTGGCTGGCTCCCGGAAATCCCTTTCCTTGCGGCCGGTCCTCCTGGTCGCCCCGCCGGAGCAGGATCGCTACAGCGAGCTGTCTAGGGCGAAGTCTCACTCACATCACAGCCTCTACACACCGGCACCGTCGCATCCGGCTCATACGATGTCGACGAACACCCTGAATCATTCCCAGCACAATTTCCAATTGTAGACTCTATCACGTTCGATTCGATGCAACACCGTTGTACATTGTACATACACGAGCCATCGTTCTGCCACGAGTACTTTGCTATAGTGAACTCCATTCGTATACATTTCAAAATTAGATAACTGTCTTAATATTGGATTTAATGAATTAATTTTTTTTTGGTGTAGTGAGATTAGTCTGCTATATGATGTGTGTTTTTAACCGCGTGTTTTCTCTCGTTGCAACTCAAGTTACTACATAAAGGGTTAAACGTTATAGTGGTTTAAGGCACTTTCGGAACTTAAAGGTCCCGGAAATAGTACCGCTGTTCTCTTTACATGCCTACAGTGCGTGCTGTTATCAGTTAACTTGACTGGAAAGGGACTTACACTATCAAGGCTTTTATCCTTTCATATGGAGTATAAGTATTCCTTCTCAGGGACGATTTTTATGAAATTTTATTACGATACGCTGAAACATAATTATATATATAACAACCAAAATCAACGTAGTCCAAATAAACTATTGACATATATAACTTTTGACAAATTTATTTTTCACAATCTGATTGCTCGAATGGATTTGGAAAAATTGTAGAGGAAATGTTGATAGTCTACTTTTGTAATTCGTATACAACAATGTTTTTAGTGCAGTTTCTCTAGAATTTTTTCCTATAGAATCTATTCGTGCAATTATCTTTTGAAAATATTCACTCAAGTTCAATATTAAAGAAGTTATTCAATTTTGAAATGTGTACGCGTATTTATGGACTTCACTGTATATTGATATTACCATAGCTGTAAGAACTATTGTACATACATAACGATCTTTGGATTTTGTTCTTTTATACGTTTCAATATAATTAGTATTACGTCGACATCTGTAACGCTTCTTGTATATAAATTCCTTTTCTAACTTGTATTTTATGTATGCAAAATTAATTTTGATACATAATAGAATGATGTACGTATTCGTTTATCTTCCTTGTTCTCTGATTCCTGCGGTGTTCTTAGGGGCTTGCAAAAATCGCTACTCTGTCCATTGTTCGTTTTATTATAAACAGGTAATATAAATTAATTGTTTTACAGAACAGAGAGTATCTTACATAGCGGGCAAGTTGCATATATATACATATATCGTATACTATTTAAACAGAATGAATCGACAATTTTCCCATGAAAAAAATTCAAACGAAACTACGTTCGAATCTCGAACAAGGCACAAGGCGCAAGCCCTACTAAAGCAAAGTGTTTTGCCGTACAGTAACTATGACTACGCTCAAAAGGAGACACCGATAATACGTCTAAGTACGCGTTTCGTCGAGAAATAATTCAGTTGCTGAAAGGACCGTTCTCTATCGGTGCGGTATGAACGACAAAGACGACAGTGCTTGGGTTTTCGATTCCCTGATCGGTTTCCTTCAGGGTCCGATCTGGTCCGCGCCTCTGGTCACCTTCATAGAAGAAAAATCGCTGAGTAAGTTCGAAACGCTTACGCAATCTCTCAACATCTTTTTCGTTCATCGTTGAACGATGGTGAGACAGCGAAATAAAACCTGACCCCTCGATTATGTTCAAGTATTCGAAGCGGATACAGAGGATCACGACGAGTATCAAAAAATATATCAAGAATACAAAAATCTGGTGGATTTATTGCTCGGCTGTTTCATGGAAGACATGGGGATCACTCCGGAACAGTTCGAGTATGCTTGCACTGTAAACAAGTATACGAAAATGCCCATACAGTTCCAACAGGCGAGTCGACGTCTTCTGAGATCTGGAGAGGACAACCGAGTATTGATTTGAACGATCTTTCCAGAACTTGTTCGAGCAGATATGGGCCGCGAACGAGTTCGAGATATTTAAAAGGATGATGATACAGAAAAATCTGGAGCTACAGTTGCAGGCGTTGAACATGATCGAGCAGAAGTACGGGCTGACACCTGCATCCTTAATGTACGAGACCACTGCGATAACCGAAGATCCGTTGGTCATGGAAGAGATCATTCAGTGAGTCTGCTAGAGAAAATGTTTGAGTGGAGACTATTAACTATAGGGAAATGTAGGAAACACGTGCTGGAAGATGTTTCGGACGACGACCCGGAGATATCCTCGGAAACGTCACTTATTAAAGAGCACGAACGTCTGGCAGCGAAGTATAATAGCGAACGGGCGTTGTTGGAAGAAGCTCTGAAAGTTTCACAGGAGAAGACACCCGAAAAGGAGACGCATTCATCTTCGATAGAAGAAGAGGAAATAAAAGAAGTCGATGAGAAAGAGGTCGATTCATCGGACTCTGAATCCCCTGTAGAACCGAAACCAGAAGAACGTATCACTTTATTGGATTGTATTGGGGCAGTGCTGAAGTTCTTGCCTGATTTGAAATAAGATATTATTTGATACACACACACATTATCATTTACAATTTATGGTAAAATCTTTTTATGAAGTCATCCCTGTTTTTGATTATTCTTTTTATACGCAAATGGATTCTTTTGTAAAAACTAGATCAGTCAGATCGAAGTTCAAAATTACTATTTTTAAATCGACTAAATCATTTTCTTATTGATTGGAGAGCAGCACAGTTCAAATACACGAATAGAATGTGCTTGATTACAATTCTAACATTTAGACCCTTTCGTAACTTATACGATATAACATAGCGAAAACGAATTTTCCTTTCTCCATATTGAAAATCTTGTGTAAAAATCAAGGTGCTATGAGCAATGACTCACGAAAGTATACGAACACCTTTTAAAACAAAATAACTTTTTTAATATTGGATCATATAACAATTTTCTGTCGGATGCTAAAAGATTTAGTTTGCTACGTACGTAAAAAGAATTTGTCACAAATTTTTATGGACCAGAATCGCAAAGAAAAAAGTAAACGTCGCGAAGTTTAACACTTTTATTGAAATCTTTAATGAAACTTTGAAACATCCTATTTGTAGAGTTAAGTAAATTACATGCATGTAAAAAGTTTCATCACAATTGGTTAATGTTGCTATGCTACAAACGTTCGAAAATTAAAAACAACGCATGTTTTCGCGATAATCTATAATTGAGATAAACTGAGGAATTTTTACACATTTCAACGTGTCCAAGTTCTTTATCCTCTCATCAAACTTTGTACATGCATATAACTTACAAATCTACATTATTATTATTTTTTTTTATTACTTTTATTACAGACTCTAACAAAAAAATTAAAGAAACATGACGCTTACTTCTCTTCGCAAACAATAAAAATTTTTAACTTTTTTTACACAATACATCGTAAACTGATACTTGTAGCCTTCCAACATACAGAAAATTATATCGTTTGCACCAATATTAAAAAAATTATTCCGTTTTAAAAAGCATTTAAATACTTTTGTGAGCTACTGTGAATTAAATATATTGAAATACTCAAACAGAGATGCTCTGGCTCGAATCTTCGGATAGTTCAATAATAGAACCGAGCCGAGACTTAGCTTTCGATTCGAAAACTCGTAAGAATCGAACGGTTCGAAAGAATCGAAATAGCTCGAATGAAATTAAATAACTTGACACTTGAACAAACCAAGGAGCTGGAATAAATTGAGTATATGTACAGATTAATTTCTGTAGTTTTATGGACATGTATACAGGCTGTCTCAGAAAAAGTGTTAGAGCCGAAAAGGGGTGATTCTAGAGGTATTTCTGAACAATTTCCTCTGCTAAAATGCAAAGTGAGCCATGGTTTTTGAATTATTAACGAAAAACACTGACGAATGAGAGCACGCGTGGTATCTGCGCCCAGTCACGGGTAGGATGGCTCGGATCGTGACGCTCAGCCGTGGCATAGCGCGGGTCCTACACGCGCTCTTATTGGTCAGTGTTTTTCGTTAATAATTCAAAAATCATACCTCACTTTGCATTTTGGTGAAGAAAATTGTTGTTCAGGAACACAGAATCATCTCTCTTCGGCTCTAACACTTTTTCTGGGACACTCTACATACAAATTCTCCATTATAGGTGTTATTTATTGTTAAAATACACATAATTATACTATTTTTTAATATTGTACAAATTTTAATTTTTTCACGATGTTTTGTGCACGTCATTTAATAAACTAAATCATCTATTTGTGATTACTCACAGAAACTCAGGTCGTTTGGTTAGATTTTAAAAAAGTTATTCAATTTTAAATGGCGTATATTCAGTTTTGCTCTTAACTGTACATATTCACATTTATCCTCTTTGCATTTGTATACGCTCTGTTATAAAAATTCTCCATTGTATGTTATCTACTATTAGTGTACGTATAATTAGATACAGTTCTTTAATAATCCCAAGTAACACACAAATTTTTCAAATCTATTATTCAATTCAATAGTCAGAAAACAGCACTTGATGAAATATAAATGGTTGGCATGTACCATGTATTCAGAAAGTATTATATTTAATATACATACATTTTTTAGTACGGATATGCACGAAGCATGTAGAATATACAATCTATTTATTTAGGTCTTTTGATTAATATTAGAATCTATTAATAACAAAATTACAACAACCAAATATTTTTAATCGAATCATCCAAATAAATAGATTCTACATTCATAATCATCATACATGATATTGCTGTAATATTATTCTGCATTTAGATGAATCACTACAGTCAACTGTTTTACTTGAGCAGTTTACCTTTTATAAACTACCCGATATCATTCGAACTCCTCGGTTTATTCGACCTACTCGATTTCATCCGAACTACTCGATTCTTTCGAACAGCCGGCTCAGTTCGTTTATTCGAATCGAATATTACTCTGCTCGATTTTCCGAGTATTTTGACACCTCTACTGTAAATCAACGGTGTCTAACATAAGACTCATGAAGTACTATCTTTCGATGGGTTTGTATTATAATGTTAAAAAAGACATCACGTAGACGTACGGTGAGAGTAAAAATCAGATACGAACATTTGCACTAACCTAATATCAAAGAAGAGTGGTAAATGAAAACGGTTTACGGATATTCCAGGTGTCGGAAGAAGATGTGAAGAAGAGGCAGGCTTATCTGAAGGCCAGGCGCGATAAATTGGTAGCGTTGAAGAAAGAAGCGAGGAGCCAACGACTCGAGATGAATTCAAATTTCAGCAGACCCAGTTCCGCCAGGTCAGTGGCGGAAGCGACGATTAAAGGGGAACAGGAACTAAAATTGTCGGAATCCCTGGAACCGTCTGTTATGCAAGCTCGTAAAGCACTCGCAGTTCGTCTTCAAGCCGAGGTGATACGCAAGCAAACTGACTAATACGATTATAGAAGTATTTCAGCGAGAGAAGGGATAAAAGTTTGTTGCCCGATTGTGATTAAATAATAGAAATAGTCTCTTAAGGTCACTTGTACTCTCTCGATTCGATGCGAGGCGATGACTGCTCACAAACGAAATCTCTGAGACGAACAACTTAAGGAACGCAAGTTTTCTAATAACTATTTGTATAGACCATATTGCCAGGAATAAAAGAAACAAATTCCTACTTACTTCTGCTTCGAGTATAAATAAAATGATGTCGAGAAAGGAAAATATGCTGAAAAATGATTTACATATAATTATCTAATAGTATAGATTGTATAAATCACAATTATACAAATAGAACCGAAGGTGAACAGTTACATTCGTACAAACAAATGAATTAATCATTTCTTTCACTTTTATCCCTCGCGATTGATACGCACAGGTAAGTCATAATTTCGTTCGTCTAATTTTACGTTTTATTTAATTAAATATTCTCCGCATTTCTACAACACACTTCTATTCGTGTAACGCACAATAATCATTCTCGCTCCTTTTAACATTTTTCCGTTCAGCTAATTCGATTTGTAAAGAACAAAATGACTTTGTAGCGGAACACGAGCAACGGTAGGAACGTAAACTCTACGCGTCCAAAGGTATTTATCAAATGTTCATTGTTACCTAAATTATCTTAAAAAAAGAACGATAAAAGAAATGGGGAAGTTGGAAACTTACTCGATACTCGTCTTCCGTCACGGAATCCGGCATTTCGTTCTTCGCCGTTACTCGACTCCTCGTTCACGCTTCGCTAGGATAAAATGTAAAATAACTCGCTCTTCACTTACTCTCCATTCAACTGTTGCCACACCACAACGCACCAACACGAAACAAAAATTCCTTGTTTACTTATTCATTTTCTTTTATGCTCTTAATTCACACGGTTTCTGTTTTTTTTTTTACGAATAATTTCTCATATAAAAAGGTGTCTTTTTCTATGTATATACATATATATTTATATATCCGTATATACGTATATACATATACATCAGAGAAAAAGGTTCTCGCTCTGTAATTATATATATATATATTATGTATATATATGTGTATGTATGTATGTATATATATATATAAATATATATATAATTACAACGCATTATATATTATTAACACGTGATATTGTACAATGTGTGCAATCGTTTTCATTACCAATTTTTATTACGGTGTGACGGCTGTATATGTATAAAGATCCCTCGGTTTCCGGGGAATACTTTAGAGTCCCTTCTCCACCCGCAAGTCGGAAAGAAAACACCGGAAAATTAATCGTACCATTAACAACGATTACATTAAACGTGTTGCGATGAATGTATACAAATGTATATGTATAATAGTGAAGATCAAAATCGTTCAACCCGAGAACGAGCCGTTTGAAATTCTGAACCGATTCCAAATGCGAAATACAGGGTGTAGAAATCCTGCACCCCGCGTGGCTCGAGTAAAGAAACAGAATGAATGCTTCTTCAGTTATATTCATAAAAATCGAATAATAAACGAAGAAACGTTTGTTGGAATAATAAATACATATGACCAGAAGCACCAACGAGCGTGGCACGTACAATGAACATCAAATAAGCAACAATAACGTGAAAGCGACAATAATGAACAAGCTTGAAACGCTCAATATAAACGTGTACCATATGAACGCGCGCACGCGTGTGTGTGTGTGTGTGTGTGTGTGTGTGTAGGTACGAAATTTAGCTTAAATAGCGATTTACGACCGCGCAGGTTTTACTCTAGTATCACTTAGATAGATTCATTTCTTTCTTGTTCTCGTCGTCGTTTCCTTTACTTGCAATCCTAGTTTATTAAAACGTGTTCGGCGACCTTTCTTTCTTTCATACCATTTACCAGTGTTTCTCGTTATTATCGAATAAATCATGATTATATAAAACACGTAAAGAATAACATTACCTGATATTCTCTTAAGTAATTAATAATATTAGCCTTTTTTACATTCTTCTCTCTCCCTCTCTCTCTCTCGCTCGCACTTTCTGTCCTCGTATTAAGTCCATGTTACATTCTCTTTTTTTTTTTAATTTTCTTTTTTCTTCTTATGTACACAATCGTTCAGCTCCAGCAAATTTGCCTACTTTCGTATTCACAGGATTCCTTTCCTTGCTCATCACTGAATCAACTTTAAAAATTTCTTTTCTCTCTCTCTCTTCGCGGTATCATAAGTTAATATATATATATATTTTTTTTACATACGTATAATATATATACGTACACATACATTATATACATGTACATATACATAATATATGTATACATATACATATTATATATATATACATGTAGATCATATATATATTACATATAATATGTATATATATATATATATTAACTGTATATATATGTATATGTGTACACAGACGGTATATGCGTGTGGTATTTACGAAAAATGTTCATTATACATATACAGGTCTAACACAGTCTTAGAAACTTTGTTCAGAGTATGTGGGATGACGTGAAAAATGTATACATTAGCTTATAATACTCCTGGCTCCTCTCTGGTTTCCTTTTAATCGATTAGCAATAGTAAAAGGAGAATGACGAACCGTTCCATCGGCACAAGTTAAAGTTAAAATTAATTCGGACCCTTCTAATACCAGCTTTCTCAGTTGCGTATATCAGCAGTTGGAAAAAAAGAAGTAGACACTCTTTATCTGGAGCTGATTCGTGAATACTGATACAACGTTAAAATAAACTTCTTATCAAGCATTGTTTTGAAATTTGAGTATTTCGCTATAAATATTATGCTTTGATTTTGAATTAAGAAGTAAAGTGAACGTCTCGACGGAACTACGTAAATCTATAAAACGTTACACGACACGTTATTCTTCAATTCGAACGAATGTACTTAATATCAATTTGTTTACAAAGTACGTAACGACGCTATTCTTGTCCATATCAGTTACAATTTACGAACAGTAATTAGTTCACACTTAATGTTCACGATTGCAAGACACTTTCATATATATTATATATCTCCCTTCCTTTTCTTTACATCGAGGAGTTAATTGCGGACATGTGTAAAGTGCAAACTGGTAAATATACACAAATCAAATATGTTTATTGTACAGTTTCTAGTACTTACATTGACAACCGAAAAGCTCGTTCGAAGAACCTTAAATGGGAACTGAATCTGTTTTAGAATGAATCTGCTTCTTATACCCGCGACTGGTTGTTTTACAATCGTTACAAATATACATATATATACAAACTGAAGAATCGTTTTCCAATGAATTTTCGTGGTGCTCGATCCTCCCACTTATTGACAACGGGTATCCACTGGCCCGTCGCGCGAATAAGAAATGTTGTGGATGGCGAAACAAAAACACTTAATTGTTTTTTTTGTGCGGTCGTGTACTTGTCTCACGTGAATTTTTTTGTTTTATACATAATAAGTTGTTTTTTTTTTTTAATGAGACCTGTAAATATGACGTATGGTCACAGTTTATTACGCGAACCTAAGCACACGCTTAGAGGCTGTAGACTCTTCTGTAAGAAGCACTAGGCCTGGCTAGAGTTTCTTAGCCTATTTGCGAAATAAATTTTCTCCTATTACATGGGGTGTGTGTTTTCCAGACAAACGCGTGGAATGGACTATTTCATGTTAAAATCTTAATATTTTTTTAACATACATGTGGTCATACAATATTATGCCACAACTTTATCGTCAATTACATATATGCCGTCATTTAAAGAAAGTTCTATCTTCCTTCAATCCATTTTTCTTTTAAAATCTTACTTACATATATTCCTATTTCACGGACATATATTCCCTATTCACCCACCTGCGTTCGATACTGTTGCGTCTCGTATGTATTTATACACAAGCCAGCAGCACAAAGAGGTATGTCAATGTCCACCACATTTTTCGAAACACATATTTCTTCGTTTTACGTTCACTCACTTAAAAGAGAATGGTCCTTTATCTGTTGCGAAATAGTTGAGACAGTGCGACCTCCCGATCGAAACCTTCCCGTACGTAGGAGAGCCAGAAATGGTAGCAACAATTGAAAAACCACGAAATTTGTTCGGTCCTCTTCCGTTTTGCCTACTATGACAATCTCTGCCGCTTCGGCGAAGGTGTCACTTCTGTGTCCTCATCTTCCTCGTCCGAGTCGCCTTCATAATCCACCAAACCCTGCAAATTAAACTATTGTACTGTGTTTTCGATCTAAGATCTTCACGCTACACGTCGACGAAAGAAAAAATTTACCTTCTTGAATAATCCGCTACCACTTTTTTCTACAGTACCAATTGGTGAATTCGGACTGATTTCCGAGGTAATCGGAGATTCGTTCGTCGACGTCGTCGTCGTCGACGTAGTAGTAGTGGTACTATTGATTTGCGATTGTTGCGAGGTAATGTTATTGTTAGCAGTATTATTGTTCAGCACGGACTGCTGCTGCTGCTGCTGCTGATGGTGGATTTTAGAATCTGCAAAAGCAGGATTAAGTGCAGAATTTGAAGTTGACGACGATTTTTTAGCAGAAGCCGGAGGAACAAGATCTGCTGCCGCTGCGGGTACGACCGCCTCACCCTCATCAAAGTCTTCCTCTTCGTTGAACCACATTTCCTCCTCTTCATCTAGCTGTCTCTGGTCCCTTCTGTATCGACTATTCCTCAATATGGATGGAACGCTGCGGGAACACGATTGAAATTATATGTCGAACGATTAGTTTTAAGAAATGAATCGTTCAGACAATTACACTGTGCAACACAAAATTTATTTACAGTATCCACTACATGATTTTTATTGAGTATCTGGCAGCAGAGATGCTCTATCGCATGCCGTTGCGAAGAATAGCGGTCTTTTGTATGATTTTGAAGAAATTATATATTACATGAAAACTAAGAGCGCAAAGAAGTTCGTTTTAATCAAAAGATAGAGAAAATTTTCACAATATAGTGAGGGTGTCTCGCGACACGACTTTGAATAACTCGCAAGGTATTTGTTGTACAATGAAAATGTTTAAACAAATGTTGCATTCCCTGCAACATTATGCATCGTAAACGTGCACTGCTGTGACTTGTTTTTTGTTTCCTTGCTTCTATATCAAGAATTTCAATAAAACACCAAATTCTGAGTAAAGAGGTTTTGAATCAGTGAGGGCTTAAAATATATAATTACTGAAATATTCTCAAATTAATAATCTTCGGTTATCATCAAACAATGCGAAGATATTTTTAATGTATAGCAGAAACATAAATATTTTTTGTATTACTATATATTCTATTTAATTAATATTCCCTTCATGAAACGTGAATACGTCTTTGGTTTTTATAATTTTGTTTAATGATTGATAAAAAAAAGTAACAGAAAAAAAATATGAATATCATTCTCATAAAAAGTAAATAACTATTAAGAGATACCACAAATATATCGGTTACGCACACATTATTGATAAATATTTTCGTAAATTGCTGAGATACCAACGCAAACAAGTAGTCATTTTGAATGGTTTCATTATCAGAAATGTCTGTAGAATTCAATACTGTGTAGCAAATTCCTGCTGGATAAAAGGATTTTTATATAAATACAAAAATAGTACATGTGAGGTACTCAGTTCTCTTTCAAATTTTAACAAGAATGTCAACCTATGTGTAGCAGCTGCAGTGTACTAAATTCAATATCGCATATCATCACCGCCAGCGTGAAATTCCAAAATGAAAGGAGACTAATCATGTAAATAATAACTTTAGAAGAATCATTAAATCTGAGAACTTATGTATCAAGATGTTAAAATTCCTAAAACGCATCGGATATCAACTGTTATAAGAACCAAACTTGATTTTTTTATTTAACTTTGTTAAGCAATGGATGATGCTTAACTTATACTCTATGTAATTCATAATCATTTTGGTTGGTAATGACTGCTATAATGGATGCAATCTTAAAAATGCAATTATTATTATTATCATTTAGAACTAGCAGAAAGTACGAAAACAGAAAATGGTTTACATGGATACATTTACAAGAGATTACATTTATAAGAGAACTGAATGTGTAAAGAATCTAAACACTGCATGCAATGTACAAAAATGTAGGAAATATCAAAAACAGAGTGGATATTGCAATATTTAAATAATAACTGTTATTTGAAATGTAACTAACTAACTAAGTACAATTTGTAACTGTTATTTGAAAAATATTTTTTAAGCTGGTACCACAAATATTTTATGTTGCATAAAAATCCACAGTCTGTACATGGACATATTGTGAAAAGTATCCTCTGCCTTTTGCTTAAAAAATAAACTTTCTTGTAGTTTTTATATAGTTCATAGCTCATAGTTTTTATATAATATATATCATTCCTCTTGGAAGGCAACCATTTTTACAAAAACTAGTATTTGTCGGAAACGGTACGCAATTTTACTTTCGGATTCGTTTTTAGCATGAGAAACTCTATAAGAATCATCTAATGCAGAATGTATAATGGGAATGATGCAATTTTAAAGGAGATCAATGATGATCAAGGGATTTATAGCCAAATATGCATCGGTGATTGATCGGCATAATCAACATCACGATCCCATTGGTTAATAAATAATTTATTAATAACATTAATAATTAATTGTCTATTGACATAAAGCTATATCATGTAGAAAGGAAGAAGTTATATAAAATAAATGTACGGGAAAAGATACACTAAAATTATTTAATATATTTTAGAAACAAGTAATATTTTTTTAAAATATATAAATCTTTATGCAATAAGTGCAATATAAGAAAGTAAAACACAATAAATCATGAGTTTGTTTCATTATGATTTTCTTTCTGAGACCTTTCTATATTTGTAAAATATTAAAAATAATAATAGTACAAAAAATAATAACACATAAATCTAATAAGCCATTTTTTGTAAAACTTTTGTTTATCTTTAAGTTATTTATATGCAACTATTTGTATTATGGTTCTATTGTATGCTGTATAGCGTAAAGAAAAATGTAAGAAGGTTGATAAAGAACATCATTTTTAAAAAGGGTCGGATACAAGAAAAGGATTGGATGCTCTATAAGAATAATGTAATGGATATTGCGATATAAAAGACTTTTTGTTGGACTATTATATACCTGTCAAGAGCTGCTCTATCCCGATCTTTCAACTTGTCTTGGTGCTGTTCATACCTTAATCTCAATGCCTTAAACGTTTGTACATAATCGGTCGCTTCCAGTTCTTTGGAGAAATTTTCAACAACGTGCGAACATAACGACTTGATATCCTCCTGCAAGGACACACGCGATATTAGTGGAAACTATCGCTGGAAGAATTGTATTAAATTCAAATACTTACCAGTTTAATAAACTCGAACATCTCGAGAATAGCGGAATCCAACAAATTGTATCTACCATTGTTTCTGACGAACGCGTCGAATACAGGCGCAAACAAGTTTCCCTTAATGATATACCTATTGTAGAATTCGTCCTTCAGCGCCACGATCTTTCTCATAAACCTTAACGCGCACAGTACCAAAAATGTGTGCGTCGACTTCATTAAAACCAATATTCGTTTAAGTAGATCTTTGTTCAGTATGCAATTCTTGATGTGGTACGTATGATGCTCGACACAGAACGATAGTAACTCTAAAATCAATCCTAGAAGCTGCACGGTTCTATAATCCTCCCTCGCCGGTCGATCCCCGATCGTGTTCGCTAACAGCGGCGCGATTAGCGTCCCGATACTATTCTTGTAGAAATAGTTTAAGAAATCAGTCTTTTCTGACTTGTTAACGGAAGCCAACATGTTCTCCGGATCTAGGAGCAGACGTAAGACGCCAGCCAACTGTACGGCTCCGCCCAATTCTGGGTCGCTGTCGCCGACCAGTTGAGCAACTATCACGTTTATTAACATTTGGTCCTGTTCTGTATTGTTTATTTGTTGCAATGTATAATCCCGAACGACGCTCGGAGAATATTCGACTATATACGTCAGTATGTCTATGCTGGCCGTTTTTGTTTGGGCCTCGTTCATCGCCAAAGTAATTTCTAACGCGGGCAGAATACCAAGCGCTGTTAGAGTTTTATAAAATGCCTCCTTCCCTTGTGGCTGAAGATTTTGCGAAAAGTTACAAAACTCTTTTAAGAAAAGAACGAGATCGCGTCTCTTGCTGTCCGACGTCGCCTCGTCGGTCAACTGGCGGAACAGTTCGTTAAGGAATTTCTCGTCATCTTGTATCAAGGTTACTATTTCCACCTTATTAAAAAATATAAAGCTACTCAGAGTGTTCAACATGTTATCCTCGAACACGCTCGGCGTCGGCAAGACCACGTCCTGAATGTACTGAACCCGATACGTCTGATGAATTTTAGCTAACAACTCGGCGTTCGTTATAGGAATCGGTTGCTTAAATCTGGCTAATTGTCGAAGGTATTCTCTGTGCCTCTTCGGCTGAGGTAACGTCGGCTCGTACTCCAAACAACCAACAACTTCGAAAATCGTGTCCTCGCTAAACATAACTTCGAACAACGTGTTTTTATTAAGTAGGAAAATATTCTTAAATATGTCATACAGGTGGTGTAGTCCCTCGATGTTCTCTAAATCCTCGCAAGTGTGAAACAAATTCAACAGCTTCTTAATGTACCCTTCTGTTTCTAAAGCCAACGCCAATTTATCCTTCCTTATTTGAGAGGATAAACAATTTCCTATTAGTTCGTTGATGTCTTCCAATCTGCTCAATTCGCAAGGAGGTAATTCAATCGGCGGGGCGGCATCGGACATGTCATCGAATCGTTCATCTTCCGATTCTTCAACGATTTCCTGGGTGATTTCAACGGATGGATCTTTTCCTTGAACTTGGCATATCTTCTCCCAAATCTCATCACAGCCAGCCTTCTCTTGAAAACTTAAGGCTAAGTCAAAGTTCTCGCCTTCTGACCATACTATTAAAGTATCCTGAAATGAAAAAAAAAACAAATATTTCGTAAGCTCCATGATGCTTATATGGCTAGGATAATTATGTGACTTTTCTAACATTTGTCATTAAATTTTTGACGTTTTTGCTTTGTTGTATCCATAACTAGGTAAAAATAATGCAAAATGTATATTTACGCTGTTCGATTCTATATCTTTACTTCTGAGAGAATCGAGATAAGATTTCTTAATGTTTAATTTAATACATTCCAGAATGCTCTCCATGTGTTACTCTGAACAATCTTTGATCCAAAATTGCTTAAAATCCAAAGCTAAATAACTACGATTTTTGCACCACGCAACACTTATTTTATTAAATATCGGCAGAATCTCATACAATAATGACCAGTGCGCCTTAGTTTAAACTAAACATTAAAACGAATTTTGTCTTGATTCTCTGAGAAATAAAAACGTAGAATCGTATTGTGTGAACCCATATTTTTGGCCAATTTAGTAGATAACATAAACATTCTGCTTTATCGCACTGTCATCGGAGTCTATCCTTTTATTATTTAAAAAATGACATTGTCAGTTACCTGTTGCTTCTGATACGCTGTATCAGGTTGTATTCTACTTTCTAACAGAACAGAGCCATCGCTCTCTGCTCTGACCAAAAGCGATATTCCTTTCAGTCTATCTACATACGAAGAAGAGACGTGTCCTGTGCCACGATCGTCCCACTGTCTGTCAACATTGAGTGCATATAACTTCACTCTTCTTCGTGTGTCCGTCATGTTGCAAATGATAGCTTGTACAGACTGTCGTATAATATCACCAACTACCTCGCATCCCTTTTCCGTTTACACTTACCAACTCTTTGGTTCTTTAAATATACTTATCAAGGATTCTCAACTTTTCGATATATCGAATGCATAAAAACCTGCACGTATCGGTCTGTCAGTTACCTCTTTGACACCCATTAAGATTTCTTATTAACTGTACAATATGAAAACACTGTTTTGAGTATACAAGGTCCTCTCAACGTTTCAATCCATGCATATATACCACGTTCTTCTTTGCTCAATTGTGGATCCAGAAATTCATATTTTTATTCATTTCCATAAACGACTATCTCGAAATATTGGAGACTTCACGTGTGTGTCCTTTCTCAGGCTCCCCCACACTAATTGTATAATACCTCGTTCGACGAACTTACATACACGATATCGTATGTTCTCACTAAAATCGTCTGGATGTAACATCAGCTCGCGCGATCATCTGTCACGCAGCTCGCATGCCTCCGAGTTTTGGTTGACGGAACGACGATTGTTTACCGTAATAGATGTTTATGCGCTGGTTGTTGCATAAGCCTTGATTCTTGCGCCAAGAAAACCTCTCAGGACGCGCGGGAAAAGTTTACGCTGTGCACGTTCCCGCGATCACGTGTCGCTTAGATACGACGAAGCGAAATCTGGGTATCACGGCGAGTATTGCGGACGCGCCGGACTCGTTCTCGTGAAAGGTCGGGTGAAAATTTTGTTGCTGGGAAGACGGGCACTCTGCGTGCTCTCTCTCACCGCTGTGTACGATTCCCGCGACGAAGGGAACAGATATTCAATTCAATCCTCTTACGATAGATCAGCCCGTAAGTGCACGGCTACTTTAATCGATCCCACGCGACACACCGATCGCCGATCATCGCAATCTTTCCGTTCTTACCAGCCAGAATCAGCCTAAAATTGACATAGACACTGAGCAGCCACAACACTACACTCCGCCATGTTAGATCACAACAACGCGCTACGGGGTTCGCCTCGTGTATCTCAAGGAGTTGAGCGGGCTGTACGATTTTTACTCATCCTTCGATTTAAGACCACTCGATCGTCCACAAGAAATCGTCGAATTAATTTCAAACATGCAATTGTTGCACGTCGAATACAAGACAGTTTGTTGAATTTCCTACTCTTTGAACGTTCGAAATAAATATATCAATCGATAGGATGATATTCAATTCCTCGTAAGGTAATCTTTAACACTAAACCTAGCTACCATATACGGTCCAAGTGACCCTTTTTAAAGGCATCTATGAAAAATAAGAACACGAAAGTTGTTTTCTCATATAATGTTGAAGTTCTAATTATTATATAAGCTGGTATCGAACTATAAAGTACCAGTTGCAGTCAATTTTAAAAGATATAAGTATATTTTATTAGCCTGCAAAAATTGTCGATAGGTTTAGTATTAACATTAACTCCTTGGTGGTATTAATGATAATCAAAACTTGTTGAATTAGGGTCAGAATTTTAGATTCCATCTCTATCATTATTTCACGCTTTATATATACATATCTACATTCTATTTATCATCGTACCGAGCTTGCGCCTTACAGTACTCAAGTATGAGGTTATAATCTATCAGCAGATCGATAATATGTAGCGAATGATTATTCATTTATCATACTTCACTGTTTGTGTTCAGGAATACTATTTGTAGAATCGTAAACAATTAGTTTGGGAGGAAGGTTCTCATTAATACAGAAACTCACTGATCCCTCTACAGTACTGTAAACAATTTAAATATAAATATCTTATTGTTTATTTTAAAAGTGTTTCCTTTCTCTCGTAAGCTGCAGCTACTTGATCCTTACAAATAGCATAATTTATTTTGTACTCGCACATACTCCACCTCTGATCTCACCTGATGCACGTATTATATTTATTATTCAAAGTTATTACAAATAATTTTGTACACACTTATACGTAAGTATATTCGAATTTATATGATGAAAACAAAAAGCTTATTAAATAGACAAATAAATTTATTATGTATAATGATAGTTATCTAAAACAATTATCTTACAGTCATGTTATAATAGTAACTGGCATTACCATTCCCGTGTACAGACACAAGCATTCCTAATAATATATATAATATAATTAATGAAATCTGTACATTAGTCAGTATGTATTACAAACAAGACTGACGGTGTGTGTTTCGTAATGTTAATCCTATGAGACAGATACAAAAAAAGGGGCAAACTAAAAATCACTTTTTATGTAAACAAGTATGGAAACAATTTAATTGATACAAAAGTCACTTTGTGAAACAGTGGAGACCATTTTATAAAGAATATATATATATACACAATTAAAATAGCTAAGGAACAAAAAACTAGTACGATTTTCATTATCATTCGTCTTTGAAGAAAAAGAAGATAAATCAGATTAATAGTATCGTCTTATGTAAATGATTAATTGATATATTTGCGATTATTCATATTGTAATATCGACTTCGAATTTTCCAAGCTCTTACATACTATTCTCAATGAATCAATCGTATCTGCAACCAGGCCCCATTATTAATCAAGATACAAGTATATTACACAAAATTATCACATCGTTTAACGAACATTTATTCTGCTGTAAGTTGAGCCGAGAACTTTTGTAACCTACGCCTTCGCAACATTTCCTGCTCGTTCGACGACTCTGCGTCGCTTCTGCTCGGCGACGACTCCGGCATAACGTCGTTACTGTTTGTGCCTGACAATGAATTCGCATTATCACTGGAAGAATTTACAATAGGAACGTTCGTCTCGGGCTTCAATTCTTGCGGCTGTTCGTCGTCAGCTTTTGTGTTCGGACTCTTCGAAGTTCCTTGCTTCGCCATTGTATCCGTATTCGCATTCGCATTGCTTGACGCAGTCGGTACTGGAATGCTGTTAGAACAAATTTCATATTAACGCTCGTTGTTTATTTTCAAAAATCTCTTACGTACTTAGCAGTAGCAGCTGCTGTTTGATACTGGTTCATCATAGCATTGGCCGCGTCCAATAGAAGCTGGACTCTCTGCAACGTTTGTATCCTGGCTTCGACGGCCTGTCGTAGATTGCCCTCCATCGCTCTCAACTCCTCTTCGCTCAATTCCGTAAGATTCGGCGGTGGGGTAGGGATTGGAGGTAACGGCACCATAGTCGGGAATGGTGGTGGAAACAACGGTACTCCGCTAGCCGCCAAATTTTGGAATGACGTCGACGGTCCGTTCGAAGCACCATTTTGACTTTGATGCTGCTGCTGCGTCGTGGTATCTGTGGTCTGCTGCTGTTGCTGCGCCGGCTGCTGTTGCTGCGGTGGCGGTGCTCCCGGTGCTTGGAATCCAGCCCAAAATGCTGGCAGGACTTGAACTTTATTTCGAATGTAAACGTTAATAGAAAAATCAATGTAACAAGTCGAAACGGGCGTACCGATTGGATTAAATCCTGGTGCTGGCGGAGCTTGAGGCACTTGTGGTCCGGCCTGCGGCTGATTTTGTTGCCTGTTCCTGTGATTGCTACTAACAGGTCGCAAGATGTTCAAGCGGCAGGTAGGGCATGTCTGCTGACGTTGGAACCAAGAACGAAGACAGGCAGTATGGAAGATATGATTACATGGTAATTTTTTACTTGCCGCTACCATTTCTTCCCTATGGAAATAATGTGCCTATAATATCCTTCCAATACTCGTACATGGCAATGTGGTACTCAAGGATTGCAGATTTTTTAATTGCCACATTAATAG